AAATGCACGCAAGGGGAAGAAGTGCCCGATACGAAGTATTCATAAATAGCCAAGTATAACTAGCACTTCATAAGCTGTAGACCTCGCAGCTATGATGCATAACTCAGGAGTCAGTTTCGATGACCGCTTTTCCTTTCAAACACCGCAGACACGCGTGTCACACAACGTCTCCAACGTTCCTCATCCTGTGTCAACATTCCAGCTTCACTAGAAGATAATTCGACTCTGGAGCAGAACGTGTCCAGATACTCGATCCAGGTCATTCTTGGCTCTGTTCGGCGTCTTCGGCGGTCGGGCGATTAGTTGGTGTCTCCCCTTCCTTCGGGGGATTCGGACCATTCGCAAGACCTGGCTGCGACCACTGCAGGCACGACTTCTCAATTTAGAGAAACAACGGCTGTATAATCTGAACTCTGGCATTGTTCAAATGCTTCAGGCCATCGACCTGTGTTAGTAAACCCGCATCAAATGCCGGTACCCGGGATCGAAACTTTTCGCTTCGAAAATTTCATCATAACCCTAAGCCAAATGAGTGCTCGCCTATCATGCTGCACATGTAGACAGATGAGAAACAGAATGTTGCGGAAAACGAAATTTGAGGCTAGCCCACGCCGCAGTCGTTGCCTTACAAATGCCGTCGTCTTGGCCGACAGCCTAAAACACGAAAATTAATGCCAGAGTATAAGTTCCATAACAGCAGTGTCCCAAATGGTGTCAATCATAAAAGTGTCAAGCTGACCGACATCCCAATCCCAACGGTGAACCTCAGAACGTAAGAAAACGTTGGAGTGAAGGTCAACTTTACACTTTCATCGTCGGGGCGATTTGTAGCTGCTGGCATTTAACGACGCTTACGGGTGCGCGGTGATTTTCTTATCTAAGCCATTCGTCAGGAGTGCCCTATACTTGTTTAAAGGCATAATCTATAGGTTCATGGCAAGCACAGTGCGTAGTCCCCTGCTTCTTTCCCATAGAACTCAAAAGTAAGCAAGGTGAGTGACTTCTACC